AGCTGGAGGGCAAAGCAGAGCTGGAGGGCAAAGCAGAGCTGGAGGGCCTTGATTCTGGAGGAGGCTGGGAGGCTCCGGTCTCGTCTCTGGGCTCCAGAGGACGGATGTTGTGGAACACCAGGGAGGTGCTGGGAGGAGGCTGTGGCCGCTGCAGCTCCATGGCGGGCAGCAGGGACTCCGCCGCCTCTCTCGGAGCCTGGAGTGGAGGAATGGCAGTCATGAGGACGGTCTTCTCATTGGCTGCCGTCCACTTCTTGTGCCTAAATGGTAAAAACAGATCTGTTAAGTTTGGACTAGTAATATTCAACATATTATAATAAACAAGTTATGAAAGAATTGGTACTTCTTTTATAAAAGCAATAAATGTAATAGCAAATATTTAGTATTTTGTATTGATTTGACATGTTGCTAAATATTAGTGGATATTAACACAACATTTAATTATATTTATTTGTTATCTCATTTCTCAAAGAAGTTACTTATTTTTATTAAATAAATAAAATAAATCCACTGTACCACTGAGAGAGGGTCGTCTGGTTCACGGCGAAGAGCTGGATGGAGGTCCTGGTCTTGAGGGCTGGATGGCTCACTACCACAGACCTGATGGTGTTGTAGTCCTTCAAGACCAGGGACCACTTGCTGATCAAAACTCCCTCCACCCTCCTGCTGCCCGGGTACATGGCGCACAGCTCCTTAAACACCGCCTCCACCAGGCGGCTGGCGTCGGGCCAGGAGGCGGGACCGCTCCCCGTTCCCACCACGCAGCTGAAACATAGATGAAGAAAGATGAAGATAGGTAGATAGATGAACATAGATGAAGCCACAGCTTCCTGCAGACGCTCACCGTTTCATGCTCTCCACCCCCGGCTGGGCTACGGTGCCAGGAGCGTAGGTCTTGCTTTTTTTGAACCTCCCCTTCGTCAGGGAGTCCTTGTAGCGGGACGGGTACGCTACGGACCCCTTATCCACCTCAGGGAGGTTCTGCCACAGACCCACGATCTCCTCCGCCTCGGCGTTGTTGACGTAGCCCTTCCTGCAGAGCTCCACCAGCCTCCGTGACAGACGGACCACATGCTGGTAACCGGGGGTCCCGTCGGGCCCGACG